GTTATAATGTGATGCCCTTCGGGTTGAAGAACGCTGGAGCCACTTATCAACGCTTCGTGAACAAGATGTTTGAAAATCAAATAGGAAAAACTATGGAAGTTTATTTAAGCGATATGATCATTAAGTCTTTGAATGCATGTGACCACCTCAAACATCTGCAAGAAACTTTCAGTATCCTAGAAAGTATAACATGAAACTTAACCCCGAGAAATGCACGTTCAGGGTTAGTTCTGGTAGGTTTCTAGGTTTCTGGTCTCGCAAAGGGGAATTGAGGTGAACCCCGATAAATCCAAGGCCATAGAGGACATCCCGGATCAACTATCGAGCGTAAAGGAAGTCCAAAGGCTCACGGGAAGGTTGGAAGCTCTGAGCAGGTTTATTTCCCGGTCGCCGAAAAAATATCATCATTTCTGCGCTTTTCTCAAAAAGAAAAATGATTTTGAATGTACACCAGAGTGCCAGCAAGCTTTGAGGGATTTGAAGAGGTACTTATCAAGTCCTCCATTGCTCTCAAAACTAAAGAAGGAAAATCATTGCTGGTCTATCTCGCGGTATCGAAAGTTGCGGTAAATGTGGTTCTAGTCCATGTGGATAAAGGTACGCAATATCGCATTTATTATGTTAGAAAAATTCTAACGGGAGTAGAAACTCGCTACCCACATTAGGAAAAATTGGCCTTAGCTCTCGTAGTTGTCGCTCAGAAGCTGAGGCCCTACTTCAAAAGCTACCTGATAGTTGTGGTGACTACTTTTCCTTTGCAGAACATCTTCCATAAGCCCGAGCTCTCGGGCAAATTGGCTAAATGGGTCGTCGAAATGAGTGAATTCCACATTGAATACAAACCAAGGAACGCGATTAAGTCACAAGTCTTGGCTGACTTCGTGGCAAATTTCAAATCGAGACTGCTACCTCTAGAAACTAAGGAGGTAGCAACAGTGTCGGAATCAACATCAGGAGTTTGGACCTTATTTACGGACGGGGCTTCCAATATAAAGGGTTCAGACTTGGAATAGTCTTAATCATGCCTTCGGAAGAAACTTTGAGTCAAGCCATCAGAATGATCCTTTTAACTAGCAATGAAGCAGAGTATGAAGCTTTGATTGCAGGACTTGAATTGGCCTGGGGACTTGACTCCGAGGTCATCAAAATCAAATGCGACTCACAGCTGGTGGTAAATCAGGTCTATGGAATCTTTGACACTAAAGAAGAACGGATGCAACAGTAAATGATAAAGGCCCAGGCTCTGTTTGCACAATTCCGGAAGTGGTCAATTACTCATATCCCAAGGGAGGAGAACACAGAAGCAGATGCGTTAGCAAACTTAGGATCATCAACGGAAATAAAGGGAACAGAGTCTGACGCGATAGTACAATTGACAAACTCGATTTTGAATATAGATAGTTACTACGAGGAAAATTCAACTTGCTTGCTTGTTCTGGGATTGGAGGAATGATATAATCGATTACTTCGACACGGAAGTTGCCCGAAAACCACAAAGCATCAGAGGCGTTACATGCCAAAGCTGCACGATACAGCTTCAAGTGAGGCCAGTTGTATAGAAAATATTTCCAAGGCCCGCTGGCCCGGTTCTTAGGAACATCCGAAGATAAATACGTCATGAGAGAAGTTCATGAAGGGATATGCTGCAACCACTCGGGTGCAGATTCCTTGGTATTGAAATTGGTATGGGCAGGATATAACTGGCCCTGCATGGAACAGGACACCAAAGATTTCGTACCAAAATGTGATAAGTGTCAGTGTTACGCACCATAAATGCATCAACCAATGGAACCCTTACATTTGGTTCTCTCCCCGTGGTCGTTCATGAAATGAGGGAGGGCATCGTTGGGACGCTGTCACCGGCTCCTAGAAAGATAAGGTTTCTTTTAATTTTGACTAACTATTTCTTCAAATGGGTGGAAGCAGGTTCTTATCAGAAGATAAGAGAAAACGAAGTGGTTGATTTCTTATGGGAATAAAAATTTCAGGTTTGGAATACCGAAAGAAATTGAATGTGACAATGGGCAGCACTTTATCGTTGCAAAAGTTACAAAGTTCCTCGAAGATTTAAAGATAAAAAGGATCACATCTTCACCTTATCATCTGAGCGCAAATGGTCAAGCGAAATCAACGAACAAGGTAATTATACAAAACCTCAAGAAAAGGTTGGAAGCAGTAAAAGGCAAATCGCCCGAAGAATTACTTGGAGTTCTATGGGCCTACCGTACAATGGCCAAATAGAGCACAGGAGAAACTCCTTTTTCTCTTATGTACGGTGTAGAAGCTCTAATCCCGGTGGAAGTAGGAGAACCTACTTTGAGGTACTTCAAGGAAAATGAAGAATTGAAAAACGAAGTAATGATGATCAACTTGGAGCTGCCTGAGGGACGCAAGGACTTGGCGCGTGTAAGAATGGCAGGTCAAAAGCATAGAATGGAGTGATATTATAATTAAATAGCCAACCTCTGATATTTCAAAGTAGGAGATTTGGTTCCAAGGAAAGTAACTCAAAATACCGGGGAGCTCAATGCAAGGAAGCTGGGACCAACGTGGGAAAGTCCCTACCAGATTTCAGCTATCACTAGGAAAGGTTCATACAAGTTGGAAAACTATAGTGGAGACAAGCTGCCTAGTAACTAGAATGTGGCACACCTCAAAAGAAATTATTGATGATTAACATTATCTGAGCGGAAAGTATGTGCTGCACTACCTATCCCTTCCTTCAGTTTTTGTCATAATTGGGTTTTTCTGGCATGGTTTTTAATGAGGCAGCGACAGAAAGCATACTACGAGGACAGCAATAGTAAGACCTTTAATATCAAGGCAAACAAGCAAGTTTCTACTCGGGTATGGTTAGATAGTCTTTGGCTCTATAGCAAATTTCTATCAGTAAGTTAAGTTTGCTATTGAGCAAAGGTTACTCGTCCGTTCACGAGAACAAACCACTAGAGGATTGTTAGATAATATTTTACTCAATAGCATAGATTATTGAGGGAAAGTAAGGTGTGTTAACTAGTTAAGTATTATCTGGAAATTCATTGGTGGAATTTTTGAAGGTACAAGACTTCCAGTGTTCCAATTCGCATTCTTCGCATTTGAACACTTGGGGGAATGATATGAGGAAACAACACCAGTAGTTGCCACATCGACCAGGAACAAAAATCCAAAAGAGTAAATGTGTAATCAAGACCGAGGACTGCATAGCTAGCCCGTTAGAAACAAGTTGTATGAGATAGCCACAAGTAACAGCAATTTCTTTTTAGCATAGAAAATGCTTGTATACTTTTGAAAATAGAAAGAATTAAATGAAATGAAATCCTTTTATTTTATCTTGTTTCTAGTCTGAATGATGAACTAACTTCTCCATTTAAAAGTTAAACAAGTACTTCAAATTCTAGTGCCGTAATGAATAGGAGATGTCCTTTTCAAGAGCGCCGTAAATATAAGAGGGCCCACTCTTATGAAAACCATCACATTAAAGGATTGATTTCATAAGAATCTATGCCCTGGATCAGAATGCCTTAGGGGGAAGATGCACCCGAAGATGTATACGAAAGGATGCAAAAAGTAAACTTGCGCAAATACTTATAGAAACCCTCATGTAAAAGGGATAATACTCGGGGCCAAAATGCTTCGAGGAAAAAGCATCCGAGATCACACATAGCAAAGTGCGAACAGAAGAATGTTAGCAAAATTTTTAAGCAAATGCAAAAGTTAAAGACTTGCATGGATACTCAAATAAAAGTATGACTCAAACCATACTTGAGAAAAAATATGTCTTTATTTACAAAAAACATGCCAAAATGGCAAAAGTATAGGAATGGGAAAAAGAAAAGCTAAACTACAGTATCTCCGAAACCAGGAGGAAGAGAAGTGTATGCACCGTCGGGAGAAGTAGGAGGGTCCACTGATGACTCAATATTTTCTCCAGTTTGGTCTTCAGCATCATCAACTTCTGATTCTTCTTCAGTCCTCAAAAACTTGAAACTAGAACCAGAACAACCAGGAGCATCAGACTGCGTAGGGAGTCCATTTTTAGCAGTCAACTCAAGTTTTGAAGCCTTAGTAATTTCGGCATCAAAGTCAATAATGCCTGTTTTGGACTCTTCCAGGGTTTTTCTCCTGATCTTGTACATGGCAAAAGTTTTTTCAATAATGAAGGAAACCGCTCAGTGCTTAAGTTCTTCTTTGAGTTGAGTTACCTCGGTAAAAAGGCTTTCCTGGAAGGACCTAACAGATCTGAGGCTAATATCAAGGTCGCGGACGGTTGAACTAAAGAGCATGTTATGCTCGATAGTATTCTTGTGCCTCTTTTCCAACTGGTCACGTTTTTCCCTCATAGTAAGCTCTTCAATTTTGGAGTTCAAGGTTGCCTCTAATTCAGACACTTTTTTAGCAGTGGCAGCCTTGCGCTCGGTTGCAGCAACAACGGCATCCTGGATTTATCCCATTTAGCCTTAGCTTCATCGAATCTAACCCTCAGCTAGCCAATTTCTTGGCTAAGGTTCACCACCTCTTGCTTTCTTTGCTGCAAACAAGCCTCCAATAAAACATCCACAGTAGCTTTGATTTCCAGCTCCTAGAGGCAGATAACGGTTTGATCACGTTCCACCAAAAGTTGATCCCGCTCAGAAGTGAGTTCCTCCTTCTTATGAATCAAACTTTGAAGGCCTTCAGAAGCAAGAAAGTTGGCCTGTAAAACAAGAGAAGCAAAACTTAGAATACATTCATGCAAAAGTAGAAGAAATTACAAATGAAGAAAGGAACACATTGTTGCAGCAGTATGCATGGCATCGTTAACAAACATGCCCCTGAGAGTGCTTGAAGCCAAAGGTTTTATATAGTTAGCATGCCCCACCGGCCGGGAAAGCAGGTTGCACACGGTAGCGACCGTGAGGATAACATTACTCCTCCTCTGTGGATCTTAAGAAGGGGCAGCATAATTTTGCCCTAAATTCCTATGAACCAGGGACTAGGGAGGAGGAACATCTCCTTCATGATCAGATGTGGCAGGTGGAGGTAGCAGCTGTTGGTGGGAGAGTGGATGATGATAGAAGTGATATAGCAGTTGCTGGTGATGGTGAAGACGGGGATAAAGCTGATGGAGTTGAAGGATGTGAAGCACTTGCATCAAGTGTAGTGCTGGTGGTTGGGTGCTCGCCAACCAAAGATGGAAAGGACTCAGTACTCGGCCCCGCAGTAGTAGGTATAACATTTGGGACCCGATAGCAGGAGTTGGCATTTTCTACCAAATCAAACTTCCCCCAAAGCACTGAGGCGTCGTCCTCGGTTGGAACAGTTAACTCAGCAGATGGAGCATTATGTTGAGTTGCTGATGAATGTCGCCTTTTGTGTAGAGAAGCCCCATCATCACTAGCTTTTCCATCATCGTCATCCACCACGGTGTCTATGATCGGCCCGGGAGGAGGGCTAGTGATCACAACTTCCGGAGATGACTTGGGGGCAGTAGTCTTCGCCCTCTTATTCTTTTCCCCGGCAGCGAAAGAACGTTTCTTTTTGGTTGCTTGTTCTCCAGTCGGGGACCCCATTGGAAAACATTTGCACTTGAAGTAGGCATAGAGATACCTATTCGAGTAAGTGCCTCCTCAAGCAGCATCGCGATTCTCAAGATCAGCCAAGATGTACTCCTCGGGGACAGCAACAGAGCCCGTGGGTAGACCTAATTTCATGAACAAGTCAGAAGGGTTCAACAAGTTCTTCACATTAAAAATAGAAACAAGGTAAGTTCAAATTACCATGATTTTTTGCCTTCCACCCATATACAAGGGCCAGTACTTTCCACAAATGAGTTTTGAGCATCGTAACATCCAAGATATTCTGGACCCACCAGTTCAAGCCTTCTAGCACCAGTGGGACCCATCGAGTTGCTGAAACACATGACGAGATGAAGAGTCAATATGCTCACAACAGAATATTTAGTAAAGAGAAATATTAATTGAAAGGTCTTACGAGTACGATTCCAAGTAGCCGGAAAGGATGAAGCTGCTGTTGGAATGATTTTATCGGTGGCAATTGCAATGAATTGTTCTTTCCATCCACGGTCGTTATCATTATCCATGATGGTCAATAGAGCATGGTGGCCACGTTTGCAGAGGTTTATCATCCCCCTACAGAAAATATTAGGAGAGTAGAGATTCATCATATGAGCTAAGGTTAGCTCTTCTCCAGTCTCCTAGCACATGAGCCAAAGGCAGGCGACCGTCCACTACACAGAGGTACTTACTTGTGCCAAACATATTTGGTAGCGGATGCAAAACTCTGCAATCACAAAATCTAGCTCTCCACTTAAAGAAAATGCACCCAAGTAAAGGGATACATGTAAAAATATGTAAAACCCTTCTTGGGAAGGGTCACTCGCTCCGATAGATCAGGAGCAACAATATCTAACTCATGGCAACGACAGTCTTCCTTTATAGTAAGAATACTAGAAGGACGAATGAAGAAGGACACCTACTAACAACCCATGAACGAGTGTTAGCAGTAGGGAATTTATCCTCGAAGTCCTTTGTGGTGTTAATACTTCTGGGGATGATGGAACCTACCGTTAGAGGAGCAGAATCTTCAATTTTGTTCTTGCTCTTTGAAGAACCAGCACGCTTTGAAGAGGAAGCCGTTGAATAAAGGAAGGAAAAAGTATTGGATCGAAGAGAATTAGATAAAACATGGAAAGCAAGGATGCAAGTTGGAAGTTTGAGAAATTATGAAATGCATAGGAGAAGGATGATGCATATAAGTAAAATTTTGGAGGCTAAATTCATGGACATGATTACCTCGATAATCGGCAAAAGTTGTGTTGAATCATGGTATGACGCGTGTTCGGGGCATTAAATGCGGAGAGACGTACGTCTAATCAACCGTCAGAGGGCTGCAGAGGGAATTATAGTAATTCTCGCCAAAAGAGTATTTCTACCAACTTCCCGGTGACACAAAAGTAATGTCACCGGAAAGTAGGGAGACTATCTGTATATGGTAAAATATGTTATGACACATGGTCATCTAAAGGAAAGACACGTGGAACCTAAGACAGAGATGGCTGAAGACCGAACACAGCTATTCCGTTTGTCACCGGAACAGATGACGCTCATAAAGTTATATTAAATACTTTACACCTGGTAACATTTAATAAAGAATACTCTGCAACATTAAGGAGGACGACCCATTAAAAAGAATTTGAAATTTATGTTTACCGTTACATCTTCAACAATGACCCTCATAATTGATATTAACAGGGCGCACGATCCTATGACCTTCTTCCCTAGACACAGTTATAAATAGTGAGCCCAATTATCATTGTAAAGGACACGAGTTTTCTAGCTAACCTACACCACATTCTATACAAAGCTTAATATAATTTTACCTTCTTACTTTTGATTTCAACATTGTTGTGTCCGGAAATCTTATTCCCGGAATTGTAAATTTTACCATTTCATCAACATTCTGAGGCTAAGTATTGTACATTTCTCCAATTATTTTATTATTTCAGGATTAAATTAGTTCACTTGTCTAGAAACCACGTATAAATTAAACCTCAGGTCGATCATAGAAACTATGTTTACCGTTTTATCATTATACGTGTTTTTGTTTTACCATTTTACTTAAAACGACACAATTGAATTTATACGTGGTCACCAACAACCTCTGAATTTATACATGAAGATGCTTCATCCCTGTCTTCACCATCACCAGCAACTGCTACATCACTTCCACTTCATCTACTCTCCCACCGGTAGTTGCTACATTATCTACACCTACCACATCTGATAATGAAGGAGATGTTCCTCCTCCCCTGTCCCCAGCTAATGAGAATTTGGGGCAAATTACGTTGCCCTTTATGAAGATCCACAGAGGAGGAGGAATGTTACCTTCTCGGTCTCTACCGGGTGTCACCTGCTTTACCAGCCGGTGGAGCTTGCTAATTATCTGAAGCCTTTGGATTCAAAAAATGATTATGAAGATATTGAAGCCTCTCGGGGGAGTGTTTGTTAAACAATGCCATGCATAATGCTGTAGCGGTGCGTTCCTTTCTTCCTTTGTAATTTCTTCTTCTTTTGCATGAACGTATTCTAAGTTTCACTTCTCTTATTTTGCATGCCAACTTTCTTGATTCCGAAGGCCTTCAGAGGTTGATTTATTAGAAGGAAGAACTCACTTCTGAGCGGGATCAACTTTTGGTAGAACGGGATCAAATCGTTCTCCGTCTTTTGGAGCTGGAAACCAAAGCTACTGAGGTTGTTGTGTTGGAGGCCCGTTTGCAGCAAAGCAAGCAAGAGGTGGTGACCCTTAGCTAAGAAATTGGCCCGCTGAGGGTTAGATCCTATAAAGCTAAGGCTAAATGGGCTGAAGTCCATGACGTCGTTCTTGCTGCAACAGAGCGCGAGGCTTCCATTGCTGAAAAAGTGACTGAATTAGAGGCATCCTTGAACTCCAAAATCAAAGATCTTACTATTGCAAGGGTAAAGCATGCCCGTTTGGAAGAGAAGCACAGGAAGACTATCGAGCATAACAGGGTCTTTAGTTCAACCGTCTGTGACCTCGATGTTAGCCTCAGATCTGTTAGTCCTCCCGAGAAAGCCTTTCTGCCGATTTAACTCAACTCAAATAAGAACTTAAGCGCCGAGCGACTTCCCTCGTCGTTGAAAAACTTATTCCATGTACATCATGAGGAGAAAAACCTTTGAAGAGGCTAAAGCAGGCATTATTGACTATGATGCCAAAAATTTTAAGGCTCTAGAGCTTGAGTTGACTACTAAAAATGGACTCCCAATGCAGTCTGATGCTCCTGGTTCTTCTGGTTATGGTTTCGAGTTTTCAGGGACTGAAGAGAATTGGAATGTGATGATGCTAAAGACCAAACTGGGGAAAATATTGAGTCATCAGTGGACCCTCCTACTTCTCCCGAGGGTGCGGACACTTCTCTTCCTCTTGGTTCCGGAGATACTATAGTTTAGCTTTTTTCCCATTCCTGTACTTTTGCCATTTTAGCATGTTTTTTGTAAATAAAGACATATTTTTGCTCAAGTATGGTTTGAGTCATACTTTTGTTTGAGTATCCATGCAAGTCTTTAACTTTTACATTTCCTTAAAAATTTTACGCACGTTCTTCTGTTTGCGCTTTGCTATGTGTAATAGAAGAATTTTACATGAGGGTTTCTATAAGTGTTTGAGCAAATTTAATTTTTGCGTCCTTTCGTATACGTCTTTGGGTGCATCTTCCCCCAAAGGCATTCTGATTCTAGGCATAGGTTCTTTCAAAATCGACCCTTTAATGTGAGAGCTTTCATAAGAGAGGGGCCCTTTTATGTTTATAGTGCTATTGAAGAGGACGTCTCCTATTCATTACATCACTAGAATTTGAAGTACGTGTTTAACTTTCAAATGAAGAAGTTAGTTTATCATTCAAACTAGAAAAAAGATAAAAATAAAAGGATTTCATTTCATTTAATTCCTTCTATTTTCAAAAGTATACAAGCATTTGCTATGCCAAAAATAAATTGTCATTACTTGTGGCTATCTCATATAACTTGTTTCTATGTGACTGGCTACGTAGTCCCCAGTCCCGATGATACATTTACTCTTCCGAACTTTCGTTCCCGATCCACGTGGCAATTACTGGTGTTGTATCCTNAAAAATTGCACCAATGAATTGCCAGATAATCCTTAACTCGGTAACACACCTTACTTTCCCTCAAAAATCTATGATATCGAGCAAAATATTATCTAACAATCCTCTAGTGGTTTGTGCTCGTGAGGTCGGGTAACCTTTTATCAATTGCAAACTTAACTTCCAATAGGAATTTGCTATAGAGCCAAAGACTATCTAACCATCCCCGAGTAGTTACTTGCTTGTTTGCATTGATATTAAAGGTCTTACTGTCGATGTCCTCATGCTATGCTTTCCGACGCTGCCTCAATAAATACCTTGTCAAAAAAATTCAATTGGGACAAAAATTGAACGAAGGGAAAAAGAGTGCAACATATAATTTCTGCTCAGATAATGTTAATCAGCAATAATATCTTTTAAGGTGTGCGACGTTCCATTTACTAGGCAGCTTATCTCCACTCTGGTTTTCCAACTCGTATGAACCTTTCCCAGTGATAGCTGAAATTTGGTAGGGACCTTCCCACGTTGGTCCAAGCTTCCCTGCGTTGAGCTCCCGGGTATTTTGAGTTACTTTACTTAGAACCAAATCTCTTACTTTGAAATAACGGAGGTTGTCTCTTTGATTATAATACCTCTCCATTCTCTGATTTTGAGCTGCCATTCTTACACGCGCCAAGTCCCTGTGTCCCTCAAGCAGCTCCAAGTTGATCAATATTGCTTCGTTGTTCGATTCTTCATTTGTCTGGAAGTACCTCAAAATAGGTTCTCTTACTTCCACCGGAATTAGAGCTTCTGCACCGTAAATAAGAGAAAAAAGAGTTTCTCCTGTGCTCGATTTGGCATTGTACGGTAGGCCCATAGAACTCCGGGTAATTCTTCGGGCGATTTGCCTTTTGCCGCCTCCAACCTTTTCTTGATGTTTTGAAT